ATTTATTTCTATGCGATTACAACGGTATCATGTATCGGTATCACGCTCGCAATAATCATGGAAATTCAATAGACGGTGAGATTGCGAACCTATTTTGTCAGATTCAAACAACGGTGTAAAATTTGTTTATCAAGGATTTTTGTAAGCCTAAAAAGTGGCGGGGGGGCTATAGCCTCCCTAGCCTCCCCCCCCGGCTCCGACGTCCCTGGATAATGATTGTATTTGTTGCCTTAAAGCTGCACACAATTGCCTATCATGTACATTTGGAGGCTTGGAAATGCCTACAATAGTAACATGGGGAAGAATCATAAATCTTGTCACTGTAATTTCAATATCACCAGTATTATGTATTTGTGGATATCCAGGATAGTAAYCTAATTTGGTATATATAGCTGTACCACCATGTGCTCTTATATTTGATGTTGATGTATTATCATTTCTTAACAAATTATWATTATCTATCAGGTACATCACTTTCATTTGGACTGAATCGTGTCTCAAAGAAGAGGTTAAGATCAGTTGCAGAATAATTCAAGTCATTTGGAATATCGTCAATGTGTTTGTGTAATGATCGACAGTTCAGAGAGCATAACTTGAAGTTAATAGGATCTGCATTGTAAATTGGAGTTATGCATGGTTTGAGTTGTGCTTGAGTTCTCAACCTTTCCATCTCCTGAACATCGGGAGAAACAGATATTTTGTTTTAACAAATATATAATAGTCCAGTCATCTAGTGGATTTGAGTCAAACAAATTGTAAAAGTTTTTTTTGTCGCTTCCATGTTGTAAATAGATTTGATTTAGATAACATATTGAAAATTCGCAAAAATTCCTGTTGCAGAACAAAATCAAATCGTTGGGTTTATTATCGCCATTTTTTCCACAGGRAACCCATAACAAAATTTTGTGGTAAAACGGCATATTGTCGACATTTTGCGCAGTAACGTTTTTGGTTTTGGTAAAAAAATCCTAGAAACATCGATTTAAAAACCTCGAGAAAAAATGATCAAGCAAATAATTATCTATCAATTATCCACAGGGTACCCACAAATTCACTTGGACAATAGTAGAAAGGAGAAGTATTTTTAAAACAGTAATTAGCAAACGGAAATTTTCGGAAATTTTATTGTTGTAATAAAAAACACGCGAAAAGTTTTTGCAATATTACATTTCTTCATATCGATTGCCTACGCCCATATTTTCGTGCACAAAATCAATGTTTACATCCATCTACAAGGAAGATGCAGTKAAGCATAACTAATTTCAACAGTATTTTGTTCAATTGAAAACTAATAACCTCATAGAAAAAATTGAAGTGCAAAATATTATCTTTATAGGGTGAACACTAGCTATAGCCGTGTCTCATGATACAACAACCAGCCTTATTACTTATTTTTACATATCATTTAGCTCTGCACGAACAGAGTTAGTACAACTCTGCCCTTTACAATTGCCACATGCGGCAGAGCATTCAAGGCCTTGCTTGCGGCACGAACATCCACGGGAACTGCAATCTGATGCACAGTTACACCTCACCATCTCCATCAGAGATRCAKGAGCTGGTGGAAGATGCGTCTTTATTGGAACCAATTTGCCTTCGTCTTCTTTGCAGCCCCAGTCTTTTGCAGGTAGAGATACACTCTTCCACTCCTGAATCTGATGGTAAACACGGACGCTATGATAGGAGATGGCTGCAGATGTTGGAGGTAGAAATTCCGGTTGAASAAACGAGTTGCCGGTGGAAATTTTCTGGCAGAACCTTGTGTAGCGCAAAGAATCCAAACGTTCATCAGCTCGACCTCTATATAAAACAACAAGAGCTTCCTCACCAGCTACAATTATCTCCTCTTTTGATGCATCAGGTTTGTAAAACACTTGAGCTAGTCTTCGAAAGTTTGCGTCAGCCATAAC